AACTAAAATTATTATTTTCTTGTTAACTAATTTAGAGGACAATTCTTGTATTTATTACAGTGTAGAGAATTAAGCGATGACAGAAATAATAGTGAAATCCAATTCGATTACGTACGGCTGTAGTAGTAATAAACATTTATTTAGTCTCATTACTTGTAATGGTTCTTATTAATTGGATAAAACAGTGGTTTTTTAAAATTCATAAGTTATAACTACAAATCTATCGATTCCAATTTCTATAAGAATAAAAATCAAAAATCGATAAGATTCATGACTGATTTTACACAACCTATCCCGACTAAATTTCAAATGAATTGTCAAACTAATCTATCTTATTCAGACACCATAGGAATCAATGTGAGACTAAACAGTTATGCGATAGTTTAGTCAAGGGTCACATTCTAATACTCGGGGGAAGAACACGAATCGAATATCACCTTTTAACAGTGGTAGAGCCCGCTTTAACATCTTCGCACGAATTGGCCGGCTCGCCCGGTGCAATACCACGACCACGCAGAAAACAGGCGTGAAGTGGAAGTAATTCCGCGTTTAGTCTGATGAGTGTGGTACTGGAGGCCTAACTTTGATCCCTTTCCCTTTCCACCCTTCTCTTAAGAGGAAAGGATGGGAAGGAAAATCGATTTGACGGTGGAGGAGACGCATAGGAAGGAGAAATGTTCTCTTTATGTGCGTCTCCTCCTAATGAAGGGTAGGCAACGCATCTGCAATTGTGGATGTTTATGGGCAGCCGTCGCTTCCCATTTTGGTGGATTCAGGTGGCCGCTTACTCGTTTGCCACCTTATATTATAAAAAAAAACCTTATTTATAGGTCCTTCGTCACTCGGTAAGCTAATCAATAGATTATTCCATCGGGGCATACTTGACCGGTCAAAACGCTCTGAAGTTGTAATTCCCCAATTGGTTAAACCAACTTTTTACCAACAAATTAACACTAATGTGATAATAATATCGATTTGATCGAAGGTTATTTTTAAAAGTTTCCTTTATTACTCTGCGGATGGAAGATTAATGGAAAGAGGTATGTACAGTCACTAAATTCCGTAGTGTTCCACTTATAGAAAAATTGCCTTGCCTCCTTCTTACGAATAACAAATTAGGTGGCAATAAGTTGTGAGAACGATGGGATAATACTAAAAAGCAATTAGTAAACAGTGGTAGAGCCAACTTTAACATCTTTGCACTGTAAGGTCAGCTCGCCAAAGCAATACCACGACCACACAGACAGGCGTAAAGTGGGAGCAATTCCGCGTTTCGTCTGATGAGTTTGGCGCCGGAAGGTCAATTTTAGTCCCGATTTTTTTTAAGAATAGGATAGGGAACGTGGCTTTGACGGTGGGGGAGACGCATAGGTAGAGGATATATCCTCTTTTTGTGCATCTCCTCCTCCATCGATTAAGTGTAGGCAACGCAGCCGCTATTGCGAATGTTTATAGGCTGCGGTCGCTTCGCCATTTTGCGGATTCATGTGGCCGCTTGCTTGTTTGCCATCTTATCATATAAAAAGCAATATACCGACCATTGTAGACACATTTATAAGCGTCCCACAATCGGTACACCGTCAGATTCCCCGACTGTACATTCCATTACAAATGTACGCGTAAATCTTGTAAACATTCACATGTCTTATCATAAACGGATGATATACACCCTAATGTTGTCATAAAGTCAAGAAAAGCTTCGTGACAGTGGAAAACGATGCGATACCAGGAAAAGTTTTGTCATTCCGTACAGGAAACCGGCAATCAGCGCGCGAGGCGCGTGTTAAGCGGTAACTAGCTTTTAGCCTGTGGTACAAGTTTAAAGCGATGAATCTACATTAAAATTCTGATTTTTTTTTTATTTAAAAAACAAAATGGACCGCGTGTAATATTACATATTCAACATAAGATCTAGTTGAGGTGACGAGACTATGCAGTGCGAGTTAATTTACACATAACTTTGAATATCTTCATAGATCAATTCAGGTTGCATCCCAATGTTTTCCTTCACCATAAAAACGACGATTTATATGTTTGAAATTGGAAAAACCAGAAACACATTGATACATAGCGCGATTCAAAGCGAAGACCTGTAGATTACAAGTCAAATCCCTAAACCACTAACGCCCAATATAACTTAATTAATTGTGATTAAAAAGTTTTACATTAAATTCCTCGTCAATGAATATGTTATTATTTAAACTACTAAAACGGGTATTATTATTATTGCCTTTGTTCAAATCCGATATTAAAGTGCTTGTCACATAGTCGTAGTTATCAAAATCCGCTAACCGCTTATGTATTACGGCTAGCATATCATCAAAGGACACCGCAGTATTCGGACGCGCAATGAAACGCACTATCTTGATAAAACTAGCGCTTTGTTGTTACACGCATGAATAATACACTAGGAAACCCCTAGGTTTAGTGGTTAGCGACCTGAAGGTCATGATTTCGATTATTTAAAAATAACAGCTATCAACAAACATCCATCTTAACTTTCGCATTAATTAACTAGTAAGAAGTACGACTACAAGAATAAGAGTGATTCGTTGAACTAAATTGGATCATTCTGACACACTATTAGTATGCTAGCTGTTCCCGTGCGGCTTCATCCGCATGAAATTATGGAAATTTTATTTATTGTTTGGATTTGTCAAATTATCAATAGCAAATGTCAAAATGACATGACGTGACAAATATTGGCAATCTTGCTTCCTTGATGTTGGCAGCAACTTATGGTTTCTTTCCCACATTAAGGTTTTTATCCGAAATATTTACCCCCTAAGTTTAATGGCGTGAAAACATATAGCCTAAAGCGTGACGTAAGTGTAGGGATTTTTGTTAAAGAAAGAATTATTCAAAAATATGATGTAATTGCCGACATCTTAGGCAACAAAGAAGTGTGTGTTTCCCTTACGGAGGGTCGACAAAATATGTGCTGCTCTTCCATACATCTATATCAGCCGACATATTTGAATCCACTACTTTCACGCATATCCTCTTTCACACAATCCATCTATACTTTTTTCGGTCTACCTCTACCTTTGCAGCCATCCACTTTCAATCTTACCACTTTCTAGTTTATGTCCCCATCGTCTCGTCACAATACATGTCCATACCACGCTAACCTTTTGCTTCTCATTTTCTCCACCCCTGGCGCTACTTTCAAACTTCCTCTTATTCATAATACAAACAGGCTTATAATGTACATTACCCTATACACAAACCCACAGTACACGCAAAAAACATTACCCTCCTGAGTCGGGTAATAAAACAAGCGTCAATTAGACATAAACATATACTCCCGTCTGTCTGTTACTATCGCACTCCGGAGAACTCGAACATAACATCCAATCAAATCTATAAAAGCAAATTCGTAATATTCGTCATAACAGTTATTGTTATAAAACAATGCATACTCATCCCTTTATGTAAGTAAATAAAAATTAAATAACAAATAATATCAAACGCATTATCCAAATATATACAACACTAGCTGTTGCCCGCGACTTCGTCCATGCAACATTAAGATAAAAAGCCTTTAATATGCCCGTCTATGTCAGCTACCCTTCAATGAAAGATCAGTCAAAATCTGCCCAGCCGTTTCGGAGATTACCCGGAAAAAACGCGGCTTGCGGACAGACAGAATTTTTCATTTGATATTACAAACAGACGCTCCAATTTTATTACATGTATAGATACAGAAGACATAGATAGATTTGTTATAAATATTTTTATACTCATGAAACAATTAAAAACATAAGCTGTCATTTGTAAACAATACCCTATCAATTTATGTAAACCTTTTTTACATGATAAGGTGGCAAATGAGCGAGAGGCTACCTAAATTCGCCGAGAAAGCGAAGCGAACACTGCCCTGGTGCGTTGCCTACCCTTGATCAACGGAGGAGACGACACATAAAGAGGATATTTCCACTCCCTATGCGTCTCCTCTACTGTCAAATCCACTTTCCTTGCCTTTCCTTTTCTTTCAAGAAAAGTTGTTGGCTTTTTTGCTATCAAATAGTGTTATAATACGAATATTTTTCGAGTAAACTAACTCTGACTAGGCCATAGTCAACCACACTGGCCCACTGTGGGTTGGTTGACATCACACATATCTTTGAATTTCTCCACCGATATGTGCAGACATCACGATGTTTTCCTTCACCGTAAGAACGTCAGATGAATATGTACATATGAAATTCGAAAATCACATTAGTACAACGGGATTCGAACCCGAAGCTTAAAGCCTAGTGCTTAAATCCCTAAGCCACAAACGCTCTAAGTAACTCATAGATATTGCAAAACATACATAACTTGGGTGGGCCTATACATTCTTTCATAGTGACCATAATGATAACTAAAGTGGTCCGGAACAACGATAGTGTAATAGGCAAATAATTGGAAAATGACAAATTACTAGAGTAACATAGGCCTACACCAGGGTCAGAAAAGCACGGCCCGTAACAAGTTAGAAATAATTTTAACTGTAAATTGAAATTTAAATATTAATTAAGAAAAGAACTAGATAAAATACTTCGAGAAACATCTTTACATTTCTTCAATTCCATTTAAAAGCAACATAAAAAGTTGCTGATTGATTTTTAAAACAATTTCTTGCACTTTTATGAGTTTAAAAAAATTAAAAAAAAACTTACTTAGATACCTTTCTACCGAAACATACAATTTCATATTTGTAGATGTAAATGAATAAAATTGTTTAATTAGTACTACATTCAAATGTCAATTTAATTTTTAAATAACACCAATAATATTAGGAATAAACAAAATCAGAAATTAAACGCATTAAAAGAATTGTAGCAAAGGAAAACCTCACAATACTTATTCTAAACAATTACATGACTAAAAATCACATTTCAAAACAAGACATAAATAAAAAAATACTACAAAGTCCCTTGCGACCCTCTACAAACAAAAGTTGTCAACACCTGACTTCTCGCATAAAAGCACCTGCGCAAGAGTAGCTGCCAGTGTCAGTTGAAAACAAGTCGCCGTGACGTACGGACGTGTGTGCAATCGTGTTATATATTTTTAAAAGTTTCTTTGTGCTGTTTTTATGCGATCGAGGACATTTGATAGTTTGAGGTAGGTTGTATGTTTTGATCGACGAGAGTGTGGAAACAGATTTAATTATTAATTATTCAACGTAAAATATAAAACGTTAACACACTTTGTTATTAAAATAAATAATAATCGATTTATTGAACCGAAAAACGTCATTTAAATAACGCAATATATGTGCAAGGTTTTGCAAATTTATACTTTCAACGGAGGTGACAAGAATTTTTTATTTTATTTAATTTTATCTTACTAATATTATAAATGCGCAAGTTGAGATGGATGTCTGTTAGAGTTTGTTGCCTAAACGGCTAAACTTAGTAAATTTAGTAATGATGTAGCGGATAGTCTGGAAGAACACATAGGCTACTTGCTTTTGTTTTTTTTTTAATTCCACGAACGGAGTCGCGCGCGAAAGCTAGTATGTTCAATAGTAAAAATATCAAAATTACAATAAATATTATTTTAACGCCTACAGGACTTCAAAAATTACCTTTTTGAAGTACTTTTAAGTACTGTAAGACATTTTATCAACAAAAATACGTTATGGAAATCCATTGCCGTCTTTTTAAATTGTTTTTTAGAGACATAAATTTTATTAACGTAAAAAAATTAAAGCTACACCTAAAATATAATAAAATATACACCTGCACATTTTTTGTGACAGAAAAAAACATCAAAACAATCCATAATCAGATAACACCGTAATACAATTAACATAAATAAAACTAATTCTCAACATAAAGATTTCGTCTATAATTCAGCAGTACAACAAATACATCTTATCTTACTAATATTATAAATGCGAAAGTTTAGATGGATGGATGTTTGTTAGAGTTTGTAGCCTAAACAGCTGAACGGATCTTGATGAAATTTAGCATACACTTGGTGGATAGTCTGAAAGAACACAGGCTACTCACTTTTGTTTTTATCCCGCGCGGACGGAGTCGCAGGCGAAAGCTAGTTAAAAATAATGCTATCAAAAACAAAACAAAACTGACGCAAAAACAACATTGACGTGATACTAACATTGACAATTAAAGTCACTACTTGACAGAATGAGATCGCGTCAATATAGTGCTTATAGACGGTCTAAGTTATTTGACCCGGTGAGAATAAATCAAAACATATAGTAATTAAAACAAATCGTCAAAGAAACTACATCAAGTACCTAGTAATATAAACTAGCTGTTCCCGTGCGACTCCACTCGCATGAAATTATAAAAAGATTATTTTATTGTTTGCATTTGTCAAATAATCAATTGTAAATGTCAAAATAACCGTTACCATAATAACCTTGCTTCCTTAATGTTGGCAGCTTGTAGTTCACAATCCCTTTCCCGCATTAAGGTTTCTCCTAATTTATTTACCCCTAAGTTTAACAGCGTAAAAATATATATCCTAAAGCGTCTCGTAAGTGAAAAGAGCTTTTTGTTAAAGAAGGAATTATTCAAAAAGATGCTGTGATTGCTGCCATCCTACGTCACTAAGTAGTGTGTTTACGCTTTATTATGTTAGTATAGATAACGAAACTGAAAAAAAAATGCTCTTTATTTCGCTATAAACGTAGCTTACATTTTATTTATTTTCCTGGAGTTAATGATGTAATTACAAATATTACATAACGTTATAATATTTCCGTTTTAAAATCAATACTATAATATCGTGATAATACCTAGGTTTCCTAGATTTATATTAATTAAGACACGAATTACGTGAGCATGAGCTAAGATCACGAACATGTTTAGATATAATTACTACATAATATAAAACGAAGTCGTTTCCAGCTGTCTGTATGTATGGTTACATCTTTAAAACAACGCAACGGATTTTGATGCAGTTTTTTTTAAATAGATGGAGTAATTAAAGAGGAAGGTATATCTATACTTCTATACTATTACAATAAAGCGTAAACACACACTTTTTTGTTGCCCAAGATGTCAGCAATCACAGCATATTTTCGAATAATCCTTTTTTTTAATAAAAAGCACTACACACTTACGTCACGCTTTGGGCTATATATTTTCACGCCATTAAACTTAGGGGGTGAATATTTTGGATAAAAACCCTAATGTGGGAAAGAGACCATAAGTCGTTGCCAACACCAAGGAAGCAAGGTTGCCATGGTTTGACATCATGTCATGTCATTTTGACATTTGTAATTGATAATTTGACAAATGTAAACAATAAAATGAAATTATTATAATTTTATGCGGATGAAGTCGCATGGGAACAGCTAGTAATTACTACATAATATAAAACGAAGACGCTTCCAGCTGTCTGTATGTATGCTTACATCTTTAAAACAACGCAACGGATTTTGATGCTTTTTTTTAAAAGATGGGGTAATTCAAGAGAAAGGTATATGTCATCATCATCATCATCATCTCCGTATCCTACTCCCGTAGGATCGGCGCAACAGGTTTTTGTCCTCCACATAACTCTATCATACGTCATCTCAGTCATCACTCCCTTTTTGATCATGTCACCTTTTACACAAACCTCCACACTCATAACTAACGTTCTCCTTGTAACATGCGATTCATCCCTCCTCGTAACATGCCCATACCATGCTAACCTTTTACTCCTTATGTTCTCTGCTACGGGGGCTACTCTCAAACTTCCTCTAATATACTAATTTCAAGAGGAAGGTAGATGTATAATACATATAACATAGTAGTGAAATATTGATAATTTTAAAGGTTTCTAATGGGATGTATATAAACACATTCACTGCAACCAAATCCTTTGCATAGTTACAAAGTTGTAAACATTAGAACGGACTGTGGGAAGAGATTTTATTTTATTTTCTGACAGAATAATGCCGATAACAGCTCTCACCGGGTCAGAAAACTTGATCGCACTACGAATATCTTTCGCGTTGAAGTCTTTTCCCTTAGCTAACATTTGACTAGCGATCGCCCGCCACTTTGACGGCACGTAATTAAAATAACGCCTATATTATTCAAACATGCTACCTTCCAGTCTTTGTACCATCAAAATCTAGCCGTTTCGGAGGTTAGCCAAAACAAACGGACCTTTTAGACATACAGACAAATTCTTATTTGTTTATACTTTTGTAACTCTATTAGTATTTCTAAATACGAGGATTGCGGTACAAAGTATTCATCTTTCCTCTTAGTAATATTATAAATGCGTAAGTTTAAGATGGATGTTTGTTAGAGTTTGTAGCCTAAAGTGAACGGATTTTGATGAAATTTGTCATAGATGTAGAACATAGGCTATATACTTTTGTATTTCTTATTCCACGAGAACGGAGTCGCGGGCGAAAGCGAGTATTTAAATAAACGAAAGCATTATTGGTAATTGTAGAGATCTAGTGTTGTAAAAATGTTTTGCAACATGTTTTTTGTCGTATTCATTGACAAATGGCGGAACTGATTATCAACAGAAATATCTAAAACCGATAGAAGGTTCTAGACACAATGGTAATAAAATGTACTACTAATCATATAAATATTATAAATGCGAAAGTTACGATAGATGGATGATTGTTAGCGTTTGTAGTCTAAACAGCTGGATGGCTCTCCGTGAAATTTGGCACAGGCTTAGAGCATAGTCTGGAAGAACACATAGGCTACTTTTTATCCCGGGAATAGTTACAGTTCCCGTGGGATTCATTAATTTAGTTTTTCAATGTTTACTCGATCATTCTGCAACGGTTCAACATATTTCATTAAAATTTAGCACACATATAAAACAAAATCTTGAGTACACATGGGATAAGGTTCATCCCCGAAAAATGTCCGGTTCCCGGGATACGTAGATTTTTGTTATTTATATAGTTCGTACATTTTCTAATACCACGCGGACGAAGTCGCGGGCAACAGCTAGTTAGTATTATAAAGAGGAAAGTTCTTCTAATAAAAAAGTTATAGCCAGTGAGAATGGACATCAATTTTGTTCACTAATATTTTAGAAATCCCTCACGTCTACTGTAGATGTTCTGTCATTATAAAATAATCTATGACACTCTTGAGAAGAAGTCGAATCTAATAACACCTAATTCATCTAAATCTGTTCAGTAATTAATACTGTAGGGTGTTACAATTGAATTTACATACAAACACACATAAAACAAACACGCGAAAACCCTCTATCAGTCGGGTAAAGTTAAAAATAGACATCAATTCAATTTGCTTTCGACCTGTCGCCTAAAATGACCTTGCCATGTTTGCCCAAAAACCGGTCCGATCATTAAAACAAGATTAATTCAACACGATAATCTCTCTATAAACAACTAGCTGTTGCTCGCAACTTTGGCCACGTGAAATAAAAAAAAAAAAAACATAACTTATGTTACTCAGTGATAACGTAGCTTCCTAATAGTGAAAGAATTTTGTAAATCGGTTCACAAACAAGCGATCAAATCTTTCCCCTTTATTATGAACAGACTAGCTTTTACCCGCGACTTTATCTACGTGGAATTGGAAAAAAACTTAAGTAAGTAAACGTAGCGAGGAAAGTAAACTTACGTACTTTTTATAATATAAAGAAGAAAGATTTGTATTTTTGTAAGTATTGAAATAACTCATAAGTTATTGGACCGATTTTAAAAATTCTTTTACAATTAAAAAGCTACGTTTTCAGTGAGTAACATCTTACTAATCTTACTAATTTATAAATGCGAAAGTTTAAATGGATGTTTGTTAGAGTTTGTAGCCTAAACGGATAAACGGATTTCGATGAAACTTGGTATAGATGTAGAGAATCGTCTGGAAGAACACATAGTCTGCTCACTTTTGATTTTTTTTTAATTCCACGGGGACGGTGTCGCGGGCGAAAGCTAGTAATATTATAAATCCGAAAGTTTAGATGGATGGATGTTTGTTAGAGTTTGTAGCCTAAACTGCTGAACAAATCTCGATGAAATTTGGCACAGATGTAGAGGATAGCCTGGAAGAACATATAGTCTACTCACTTTTGGTTTTTTCAATTCCATGCGGACGTAGTCGCGAGCAACAGCTAGTACTATATATACCTTAAGTAAGAACGATTGATAGCAA